CCGCCCCGGGACCGGCCCCCGGCACGCCCTGCCGGCCCCCGAGGGGCGGAGGAGCCCCCGGGGCTGGACCCCGGCCCTTGGAGTTCAGAGTCACAGAATGGGTTGAGCTGGACGGGACCACAAAGATCATCTCGTTCCAACCCGGCAGGTACTCTGCATTAAGGCCAGCTTGCTCCGAGCCCGGTGCAACCTGGTTTTGAACACTTTCAGGGATGGGGCATCCACGGCTTCTCTGGGCAACCTGCACCASTGACTCACTGCTCTTATGGAATTTCTTTCCGTTATCCTACCTAACCCTGCCCTCTGACAGTTTGAAGCCGTTTGCCCTTGWCCTGTCACTCCGTGCCCTTTTTGTCAAAAGTYCCTTTCCAGCTCCACTGGGGCTCCTTCATGTATTGGAAGGTGGTCTGTGGTTTTCTCAGAGCCTTTTCTTCATGAGGAGGGAGAAGTAACAGGAGACATTTTTGCTGTGAAAAGGGGAGTGCCCCCTTCCCACAGCCATCAGCCCACCATCAGCTCTTGGCTCTCCCAGGAAGCAGAGACCACTATGCCCTGCTGGACTCAGACAGAAAAGCTGGAGCAGAGACTCAGGAAAAATCTGGGAAGAGACAGGGCATCCTGGCTCCTCACCTCAGGCTCCAGCCTGGAGATGGTTTTGATATCCTCAAAGACCAACCACACCATCTTTCCTCCATCATACAACAGAAGAAAGTCTCAACAYCTTTTGTCAAAAAGTTTTTTATTGAATTGTTCTTAATGTTATTTCCAAAAAAACCCAAAAAACAAAAAAACAAACAACAAAACCCCCCAAAACTTCAAAATTTAGATAAAAAGAAAAACCTCGGTGTAAAATCAAAACTAATGTCTGAAACATGGACATGCTCCGATGCACAACAGAACCGGTGGCCCCTTGGGGCTCCTGCAGTTGGCTGCTGCCTCAGCACCCTAACCCAGAGCCCCTCCCCGGGCGCTCCAGAGGCATCACCCCCTGCCCAACACTGCCTCATCGGGTCAGTTGGGCCGGGCACCCCACTGTGGATCTGGAAATAACRAATCTCAGAGTAACTAACTAATTAACGAATTTTAACTAACCCCTCCTGCTCAGCTGTCCTCCTCCCTGTGCCTCCAGGCCACCAGGAGGAGGAATTTGAGCCCTTCACTAAGGTGTGGGTACAGGTTTGTGGTCAGAGAGGAGCACGTGGCCCCGGCAGCCCCTGTGCTCGGGCTCAGCGCACACCTCCCTGCTCCCTTGCTGATGGCAGCAGATCCAAACTTTGAACGGGGTAAGAAATTCATCGGCTTCTGCTGCAYGAGACATGGACTGCCAGCCAGCCTTGGGGACGGATGGGCAGGTGGAGAAGAGATTCAACTCTCAAAAAAGAGGCTATTTAGGAAAAATAAGCCAAGTGAATGTTCAGTGACTATTTGGAACTATACACAGATGGCGTTCGCCTTARAGACATCACACATTGTTGATAGATTTTCTGGCAAGAGCTCTTAACACCAGCCAGACGCCGTTAGTAACTACGGATCTGCTGGGTGGGCTTGGGTGGAGCAGCCCAGCAGGCAGCCAGGTCCTCCTAGGTCATGGCAGGGGTGACCAGGCCCTGCAGCATGATCATGAGGCGACGCGCGGGTTTGCTCAGCGGGTTGTGGGGTTCCGCCTGCAGGAACTGGAAGAGCTTTTGCCGCACCTGGTTCATGACTGACCCCATGTGGTCTCGGGTGATGGGGTCGCTTTGGTCCAGGTGCATCACGGCATCCTCCAAGTAGCTGAAGGAGAGAGAGCAAGGTTAGGTCCAAAGACAGGATACGATCAGTCTGATTCAGCTCATGCTAGCACTGAAGATGTAGAATTTTGCTCCCTGCTCCACCCAAACTCTGCATTATGTTCAACAGTCAGAAAATAAATGTTCCTGACTCACAGCAGAGTCTACCTATCCCTTCCTCAACATGTGAGGGCAGCCTACTGCTCCCAGCCTGCCCCATGACCCGGCTGCTGGAACTAAGGCAAGTGCAAAAGTCCCCACAATGCTGGAGGTGGCTCTCAGTGGATATATTCTTAAATGCCTTTAAGCAGAATTAGTCACTCATTAGACAGTAAAAACCCTCAGCAGTGAGGCTCAGTTTGGGTAACTTTACATCTAAGATCCATCCAGGAAGGGGTGGGAGAAGACCAAGACTTTTACCAACAAGACACTCTGAAGTTCAGATGAGCCATCAGCTTTCAAACCACAGCCTGAGTAAGGCAATGTGGTCACTGCAGGTTTTTGGTAGCAATCCAGTTTAAACTTCACAGAAGCAGCTTTAACCCTAATCACCAGCTCGACTCTAACTTGAGGCTCTTTTTGGTTTTTCTAGCTTGCTTTATCCCCATTGAGTTAAAAGCTAAATTTAAGCAATTTTTCCAAACAAGTCATAATCAAAACCTGTAGGTACCTCAACAATTTAGCGTTAAAGGGCAGATAGCAAGGTTTTGACTCACACACTAAAAATGCTCATGGCAAGTATCAGCACAGTCACTATTTTGTCACACAAGCTTTGCTTGGAACATCCACCAGAAATTATTCCAGKAGCTCCTCCTGCAACCTCCCACTGAGCCTTTCTGACAGTCACGACAACAAACTGCCAACACAAAGTCCAGTGATGGATTTAGAGTCAAGGACAGAGCAAACTTGCCCTGGATATTACACTATCCAGGGAACATGGCACTATCCACCCTTTTGCCTCCAGAGGAAAATAATTCCTTGGGGAATTGCAGCACAGACTGCAAATATTTACAGGCTACAATCCCMGAGGTACCAGCACCTACCACTGGGTACTCCTTCCACTACTATCTCAGGGCAGTAGAGCTTTCCATGGCAATGCTGATCTGTKTTTTCCTAGTTAATACTGGTGTAAACATGCCAGTAACAGGCTACAGAAGCTCCAACCTTCCACTTCCAGGCAGTGAATTTAAAGCCAGTGCCAGGAACAGGACCCAGTTCTCTGGTCACACTCACTTCAGCTTCAGCTCCGTACGAGTGCCCAGATCCGAGGAGAGCTGCTGAATGAGGGAGAGCAGCACAGGCTGGGACAGCGGGCATGGATGCTGCCCAAATACTTGCTGAGTATCCACGGTCTCACAGACATACAGAACCAGGTTGAGATCAGCTGCTGTTAGAGCCTGCAAGAAAAACACAGCTAGAAATGCACAGGAACCAACAGGGGGTTGAGGGACATGGGACAGAGTGACAGCYCTGAGGCACTCAATGGCTTGACAGYCTCCTCTGAGAGCARAACTCTCTGCACCTCTGCTGTACAGGCCAGCAGGGCCACCTTTAGGCTCTTGCTCTATGCTTTGAGGACACCTGTGTCTGTTCCAAGCTGAACAGCACAACCAGAGAGGAGSAGGTTACTGTCAGCAGCATGGAGCAGGGCTATGCTGCAGCCCCTGCCAGCCCAGTGGCACAGCAGTGCTATCACTCCCAGAAGAGTTTGCAGCAGCTCAAACAGATCTGCCTCCTTGTTCAAAGCAAAGGCAAGGCCAGGCCCCAGCGGGTAGATCGGCCCAGAGAGGCTTATGAAGCTGTTGCTCTTCGGAGGTGCACCAAGTGTCATTGCTGGTTTGCTGGAGCACTGACAGGATATGAGCAGGGATGAAAGAACTTAACTGCCACCAAACATGGAACCTGCCTGGCTCTGGCTCCAACTGCATGAGAGCACTCCTCAAGCACTCCAGAGCTACAGATCTTTTCAGGAAAACCCTGTATAAGCTGCTGTGGGATCATGTGCCCACTTCAAGGAGACCTTTTTCCTTCTCAGTCCCCAAAAAGCAGTGGATGACTAACAGGAAAGCTAGGTACCTGCTGGAAAGCTTGGTTGAGATGTCCCTGCTGGAGCAGCTGAAGGATGTGAGTCTGCTGGGACTGGAAGTCCATGTGAGTAGAGGGGATGGGTGTCCCAGCTGCCGAGCGCATCGCCTGGACAATGCTCGAGGTGACAGCTGCTTGCTGCTCCTTCATTGCCAGGCTCACTTCTCCTTTAATAACTCTCTGCACCTGGGCCAAAATAGACTCCTGCAAGCTGAAAAAAACAAAATAGAACCCACGGGCATCTCTGAGAATGAAGAGCTGAGGGATAASACTGCACAAAGCTTACACCAGAGAGAAAGCACAGGCTGGTTTGCTTATTGTAGTGTGGCTCCCAAGGGTTCATACAAATAGATCTGAGGCACAGGCAACTCTGTGGCCCACACCACAATGTCCCAGGGTGCACTCGGAAGATGCTGGTATTCTGTGCAGGAAAGTGACATTTCAGGGAACTAAGTCCCTCATTAAATAGTGTTTTTAATCTTTAACGTCTCTGGCTTGCAAGCAAGGCAACTAAGCTGTGGGGTTATCCCCGAACAGGGCCAGCTTCCTACACGAGATCTGTCAGATGCAGTTCCKAGCGTGCAGATGACACCTTTAGAATGAGAACTCACTCACACCGTGCCTGTGACTTCTCCACAGAAGAGCAGTTCACAGTGCAGACTCTGCTGCTGCGTGTGACACCTTTTCCCCCAAGGGCTGGGTTCTTCTCCCTTATAAAGCATCAAACCTGCTCTACTGCAGGTTGAAAAGCAGGACGTCCCTGGGAACAAGCACAGCCCATGCAACAAGACCAGGATTTCGTTTGGTGGCCTTCCTGACAACTCTGGCCTGCACTGAAGACCCCAGTGTGCTCTGACATATGTTCTAGTGGCTTAAAATAGACAGGGTAGTTCTGCCCCACAGGTGACCACCAGCCAATTCCAATGCCTGGCAATCTGCCACTGCCTCRTGGTGTGAATGTGCTGGAGGCACTGCTGGGATCCCATCCTGAAACCAGGAGGGCAAAGCCCGAACTGCTGCAGAGCAGCTGGGGGCAAGAA